GATGAGCCGTGGGGGGCTCGGTAGGAGCCACCTGGGGCTCTATCGGGGAGAAAGGCAGTGGGTCCAGCAGCAGGACGGGGGGGGCAACAGTGTCCAGGTGCTGCTTCAGTCTCTTCTGTGGCTGTTGTGCCTAAAAAGGCTGGGTCACCTTCTGCCCCAGGCCTGTTCCTTGGCATCTCCTGACCACAGTGACTCCAGCCCTAGGGCTGCGACTCAGAGCTGAGCTGGTTTTTGTCTTGTGAGACTGGAGTGGGATGTCTCCTCTGTGGCTGTGCGATTGATGTAATTGAGGCAAAGTTCTTGACATATAGCTGGCCTTCTATAGATCTGGTCAGCTGCGTGGCGCCGTCTCCACGCCGCTGGCTGGATGTGTGCACAGCACAGGGTGGCTTGTCTTGTGACCCTCAGCACCCAGCCCAATTATTTGAGCTATTGCTGCTTCCCATGACTCCCTTGCCACGTGTGTGCCAGGATGCTCCCTGAGAAGCAGGACTGGGCTCTCAGGTCTCTAGTGTGCCCTAGTTTTTGTGCCCTGGGTGGAGCCTGGCTGCTGGGAGCTGTGGCAAGCAGGTCCCAGCTGAGCTGACAGGCTGTGGGGCCGTACACAGTTCCTTCTGATGCCCTCTGGCTCACTTATGTTGCCCAGTATGTGTTGCTGGGGTGGGCAGCTGCATGAGCTGCCTGGGGGTGGCAGAGTAGTGCCTGGCTGTAAGAGACCCGAGGTTGGTGAGGGCTGGTGGAGGATGTGTGCAAGGAGCCAAAGTCCATGGACTGCTGGCCATGTCAGCAGCAGGTCCCCCAGTCTGCCCTGCTGTCAACAAATGAACGTCATGTGTATCTCATTTCTGTGGCTGCTGCCCAGGGTCACCAAAACCCACCTGCTGCTGGCACGAGAGAGGGTTCAGCATACTGCTGTTGCAGGCAAGGGCTGAGGGTACTGGGGGGAAACTTTTTTCTTGTCTTTGCTTCCCTCTGGGCTGCCAGGGGTCCCAGCCCCAGTGTGCTTCCCCAGCCCCAGCAGCTGTGGTTACCCCAGCTGCTGGCTGTGCCTCTGGGCTGGCCTGGCTCTCTCTGCCTTGCTGCTGGTGCCAGGCAGACCTGTTTTCCCTGCCCGTGCTGCTCCCACACAGGTCTATCTGGAAGGGAATGCTGTGCTGCTGGGCCTCTGGCCTGTGCTTCGGCTGCTGCTGCCTGGCTGGGCCCTGCTCTACGGGACTGGCTTCATGAAGTGCAGGGCTCCTGCTGCCAGAGCTTCTGACAAACCTCTTGCAGGCTCATAGCCAAAGAAGTGTTGGCAGTCGTGTGCCTTCACATGGGATGGGGAGGGGATTGCCCTGCTGCCTGTTCAGGGGAAATGGTTTCTCCATGTGATCTGGAGGTGGCTGTTCTGTTCCCTCAAACTCTTTCTGTCCCACTTCTTGGTGGATAAAACCATGGTTCAGCCTGCCCTGGGCTGGCTTCTGGCCCTTCCTGGACAAGGATCGCACTGGGGTTCCCTGCTGAGCTGCTTGGACTTATGTCCTTCTTCCACATGGTGGCAGAAGCTCGGCTTGGGGAAGTGCCACCCACTCAGGCCAGGGCCAGCACCAGCTGCTGGGAGGAGGGCTGCTTGTGTGAGCTGTTGAGTCACCCTAGAGCAGAGGCTGCCAGCCTGGAGCTGCTGTGCACCCCCCCATGGATGCCTGGTTTGCAGGGGCAAATGGCCTTGCTCCTGCCCTGGCTCTTGTCTCAGCTGTGTGGCTTGGCAGTGCTGGCTTGGTGACAGTGCAGTGCTTAGCACAAGGCTTCTGTGGTGGTGGGGTCCATGTGCTGCTGTCCCCACTATTGGGTTGATGAGTGTAAGGCTGGATTGAGGGGCTGGGGGTGCTGCTGGTATTAGCTGGTGGCCAGTTTGGAGCTGCCCGTGATCTCTTGCCCACGGTGCACCCAGTGGAACAGCCCCTCTTCTCTTTCTTCCTGGGTCCCCAGCATGGAGCCTGGGGGTCCTCCAGCAGCTCAGCTGTTCCGGTCCCATTTCCTCTGGTCAGTTTGGGACCAGCTCCATTCCATGGACCTTAGAGCCAAGGCAGGGATTGCTATCCCACTCCCTCTCCTGTGTGTATGTAACGAGCAGTGGTGAGCAGTAGCTCTCCCCAGCCATTCAAAGGTCACGGAGATGGGGCTGCAGTGTTTACCAGGGGACAGCATCATCACTGGTGTCTTTCAGGACAAACAGGGTCATTTCCAGGTGCATGAGCTGAGTATGAAGGTCTTTGGGCAACACACTGCTCTTGTGGGTTGGGGCAGTAGCTGGGGAAGATTCCCCTCAGCCCCTGCCTGCTTGTCTGTGTGATCTGCCTGGTCCCAGAGACTGGGAATTGCCCCAGTGAGGGGCTGTTCTGGGCCTGTTCCTGAGTGTCCCCACCATGGGCTGGCTTGGGGGTAAGTGTCTGGATGTTGCCAGCTTACTTGAGTCAACCCTCCTCTCTTCTGCTCACAGAAAATCATTGGTGTCTTCAAGCCCAAGAATGAGGAGCCTTATGGGCAGCTGAACCCCAAGTGGACCAAGTGGCTGCAGAAGTTGTGCTGCCCGTGCTGCTTTGGGAGAGACTGCCTCGTCCTCAACCAGGGATACTTGTCAGAGGCAGGTGCCAGCCTGGTGGACCAAAAATTGGAACTCAACATTGTTCCCCGCACAAAGGTGAGGGGACAGCTGCTGGGATCTCATTCTGGGGAGGCTTTCCTGTACTTCTGCACAGCTCTGCTTGCACCTTGTCTTGTGGCACTGCTGACCTTGCAGATATTGTGTTGAGAGCTCTGGACCAGGACTGCTTCTACTCAGCTGTGGGTGGATCTGTGGGAAAAGTGTCTTGGTTTTTATCAGCCAGCCCTGTGAGACTTGCCAGGTGCCCCTGCTGATGTCTGTGTTCCTGTTCCCCCAGGTGGTGTATCTGGCCAGCGAGACCTTTAACTACAGTGCCATCGACAGGGTGAAGTCCCGAGGAAAGAGGCTGGCCCTGGAGAAGGTGCCCAAAGTCGGCCAGCGCTTCAACCGCATTGGCCTGCCGCCCAAGGTAGGAGCACTGGCCTCTGCCCCTGCCTGTCATTGTTTCTCTGTCCTCTGCAGTCTCCTGTAACACTGCCCCTCCTTGCTTCAGGTGGGCTCCTTCCAACTCTTTGTGGAAGGCTACAAGGATGCCGACTACTGGCTGCGGCGGTTCGAAGCTGAGCCGCTCCCAGAGAACACCAACCGGCAGCTGCTGCTGCAGTTCGAGCGGCTGGTGGTGCTGGACTACATCATCAGGAACACAGGTAGGGCTGGCTGCCTGGCATGGGATCCCGCTGCTCCCTCATGGAGAAAGGGCAGTTGGACAGAGCCTTAGCATCTCTTCCTGGCGCCCAAAACTCCTCTCAACACCACTTGGTTGCTGCCCCGGGGTAGAGCGCAACTGCTGTGGCTGGACACTGCTGTGGCCCTGCTCTGGCTGCTGGCCTGTCTTCTGGAATATCTGGATCCACCACAGTGCTGGGGAGAAATTTTACTAGCTGCAAGGATCCTGGCACATCTGGAGATCCAGCACCTGACTTTGGGGTCAGGGTTGCACTCTGGGGCTTCCAGGCTGGCCTTTCTCTTGTGAGCTTGGGATATGTGGACCTCTCCAATCTTCAAGGCTGGTTATGTGGTGTTGGTGTGGCTTTCCAGGGCCTGCAGCAAAGTCAAGGGCTCTGGGGTAGAGTTTGGGCCTGAAACTGGTCTGTGTCACTTCTGGGTTAGAGGAGGAGGAATCTGCCTGGTGCAGGCAGTGCCCTGGCACTGACTTGGCTGGTTTTATCTCCCTGCAGATCGGGGCAATGACAACTGGCTCATCAAGTACGACTGTCCCCTGGACAGTGCGGGTGTGCGGGTGAGTGGCTCTTGGCAGGCAGGGGCTGCATGGGGGCTCTGATCCTGCAAGCTGCCTGCCTGGCAGGCAGGCCAGGGATTTCCCAGCTGGCTTGGGTTTCTGAGTGTGTGGAGGCCTGATCTTGTTTCCTGGGCCTTTCATTGCTGTCTGCCTTGGTGGTTCATGGCCTAGTTGGGACTTTGTGAGGATTCAGCTGAGCTCTGTGTAGGAAACTGGTGTTGCTGTACCTGTGCATCCTAGGGGTGAGGCTTGGAGGAGAGCAGCTTTGTCCTACTCCCACCCAAAGCATACAGTGTTCCCTGCAGACAAGGGGCTGCACTATGGGCAAGAGGCTTTTGTGCCTCTGGCAGCAGGGCTACAGGGAGCAGGAGAGGGACTGTTCCTGATGGGGGGAACCTCTCTGTGACATGCTCTGCTTCCTTCCAGGACAGTGACTGGGTGGTTGTGAAGGAGCCCATCATCAAGCTGGCTGCTATAGACAACGGTTTGGCCTTTCCCTTGAAACACCCAGACTCCTGGAGAGCATGTGAGTCCCTCAGGCTGTGCCAGGGCATGCTGGCGAGCCACACAACTCAGTACTGGACCTTGTGTCCCAGATGCAGGTGATCTGGCATCCAAAGGCATGTGGCACCATTCTTTGCCTTCCTCAGCTCTAACATTTCCTGCTTCCTCCCACAGATCCATTCTACTGGGCATGGCTGCCTCAGGCCAAAATCCCCTTTTCACAGGAGATCAAGGACCTTATTCTTCCCAAGATCTCGGATCCCAACTTTGTCAAGGACCTGGAGGAAGATTTGTATGAGCTCTTCAAGGTGAGCTGGGAGAACAGGTGAGAATGCATTGGGAGGAAGAAAAGCAGGGGTGGTGTTGGGCAGCTCCCTTTCAAGGCTGCAGGGGACAGAAAGGTGGCCAAGCTCCTGACAGTGACTCTGATCTGCAGCATAGCAGGGTTATCCCTCTGCCAGGAGTTCATGATTCAGTGTGGGGAGAAGCAGGAAATGTGTGGGACAGGAGGAGGGAGACTTGCTTGAGGAATCTCTTGCATGGTGTGAGACAGCAGGTGGATCCCACTGTATTCTCTGCTCTCTTTCAGAAAGACCCTGGCTTTGACAGGGGGCAGTTTCACAAGCAGATTGCTGTCATGAGAGGCCAGGTAAGCCGTGTGCAGGGGAGACAGATGGGTGAGGTGTGGAGCCTTGTCCTGTCTGTGTGACAGGAAAGCTGTTGGGGTGGATGCGCTCTCTTGCTCCGTGGAGCAGCTCAGGCATTCCTCTGTTGTGCAGATCCTGAACCTGACTCAGGCACTGAAAGATGGGAAGAGCCCCCTGCACCTTGTTCAGATGCCGCCTGTGATTGTGGAGACGGCGCGTTCCCACCAGCGCACTGCCAGCGAGTCCTACACACAGAGCTTCCAGAGCCGCAAGCCTTTCTTCTCATGGTGGTAGTGGTGGGAGCCACAGGCAGGGCTTGGCCACCTCGGACTAGCACTGTGAGAGGAGCTGGGCCACCACTGGCTCCTGTAGCTGGGACTCAACCTTCTGGGTAGAGCGAGCAGGTGCGGTTGGAGGAACCTGCAGCCGAACTGGAGGAGCCAGGCAGGTTGGGCACAGTCTCCCTCCAGCTCTGTTGGAGTTCAGTGCCCTGCCTGGGGCAGAACCCAGGGCGAGCTGTGGGAATCCACTAGGAACTGTGGTTGGCTGGGACCCTGCCCCTGCCTCCTTTCCTCAGCCTGCATGTGGTTCTGAGCACCCTTGCTTGGGGCTGGGATGAGCAGGCTGCTCAGACCAGGATCCGTCCAGCCCTTTACACAAGCCACTGGCCCTTTTCATCCCCACCATGCTAGCTGCTAGGAAGGCCTGTAGAGGGTTATACCCCCTCCCTTTCCCTGAGGGTGTGCTGTACTCCTCCACTGTCTCTCCTCTGCCCCAACCCTGTGCACACTGCTTTCCTCAGGGGGAGTTCCTGCTGCCCGCTGGCACAGCAGGGACCACAATGAACGGCTGTCCTCTGGCTGGGGGCTTGAGGGGTGGATATGTGAGGGATGACTCATGGGGCTGGCTTGGGTGCAGTTAGACACTAAGGGGCTCATCCTTGTAAAGAGCAGGTGGCTCTGGGAGGAGCTGAAGCTTAGTGCCCACTCCCCCCGTGGAGCAAGCCCCTAGCTGGAGAGGGCTGAGGGTGGATGAGAGCATCCTCTTCTCTGCTGTCGAAATCCACCCCTCCTGCTAGGTCTCCACAGCTGCTCTTGCTTGGCTTTTGCCCCTGCTCCCAGCAAGCTCTCTGGCTGCTGTGCAGCCAGCATGGTGCCAGCCCTGTTTGTGCCTCAAGGGGCAGGGGTCTGCCAGGGAAGGGGTGGGAGGCACGATGGGAGCACAGAGGGGGGAGGCAGCATGGGCTCCTCACTGCCCTAGTGCTGACAATCTCGCAGGCCTGCTGTGGGTGGGTGAGGCAGTGAGCTCCCCTTTCCCCAGAAGTTGCTGAGCTTGTGTTGTACGAAACGGTTCCAGGGCTCCTGCCTGCATCTGCTTGCCTTGAGCTGCGGCTTCTCCTGCTGCGGGGGGAAGCTGGTGATGGGTCTTGCTTTCTTGTTAGCCCATCTTTGGGGGGGTGGGGGGAAGGAACAAAGGTGGGTTGGGGTTCTGCTGCTTGAGCCTGGGAGGGGGGGGGACAGTTCCTTCATCTCCTGTGCGGGGATGGCTCTGCAGGAGGTGGGCAGCCAGGAGCCTCCCAGCTCCCCAGCCAGGCCCAGCTCCATCTCTGACTGACCCAAAATGTATTGTTCTAATGCACTGTAGAAATGTATGTAATGTATTTAAACCATGCAACTGTCAGAATAACAGAGCTGCCCTTCAGCCTCCGACTCTCTGCAGCACTCCAGAGCAGGTTGGGGATATTCCCTGTGCACTGGCTCTGGTACAACAGCTTGGAACAATGTCCTGCGGCCCGGGAGAGGGGCCAGGGTTGGGTGGGATGCGGCCAGAGCCTCACACAGCCACTACTATCCACCTTTTATTAACCACTGCACTCTGTCCAATACACTTAGTGTCTTCAGAGAGCCTGGATGTCCCAGCCCGGCTGTTCAGCACTGCTACAGGGACCCCGAGGTCG